ATCTCCAAAAAAGAAGAAGACTGCCGAAGTGTCAAAAGCAAACTTTATGACTTCATTGATAGACGTGAGATGCCAGCAGCTGCCCCACAAATTGTATTATGTTCTCACCTGGTCATGGGCAGGTGTGCTTCCATTGAGGTACACTCCTTCCCAGTACTTTGTGTTTGATGAGACAAAATCAGTTTCTTTCGACTACCAAAACCTTTGAGATTGGTTCACTAAGACACAAAGAAATAACCCCCGACCCTGACAAAGGCACTTTTGTCCAAAACATGTTGGGCACAATGTATAAGTAAATAACTCCTCCCCCCTTAGGGAGGCAACTGAGAGATTTTAAGTAGCATGGTACCTTAATAACCATGATTAAGGGAAAAAACCCATACATATGTATTTGGGAGTAAGTTCCACTGAACTTTGTTTACATAATTTTTTACCCCATGATGGCATTTCCCCTGAACTTCCCCATGAACTACCAATCTGGAATATGAGCAGTTTATGCACTGACAAATCTCAAAATATTAGATTAAGCAATTTTAATTTCTAATATGTCACTAGATGTGGAAAACGGCCTTCAGAACACAGCCTTTATGTATAATATGAAATGCACTAACGATCCAATGTTTTTTAAATGCACGGAAAAAGCAGCCAAAAACATGCTTTCATTTGTCCATTAAAACCTCATCTCCTAGCTACGAAAGCAATCACCCTGTGATAAGAGGCAGCTTTTAATTTCCTGTGAGACCTAAACATTGTCCTGATGATATTAATTTAAAGGTAGCCAATATTATTTTTTAGCCAGAAGAATACTTGTAGATGCTCTACTGGAATATTCCATAACCCAGAGTGGGGAAAGGTTTTTGTTTGTTTGTTGAAATCATAGCTTGCTAGCTTTGAAAAAAGAAATGTAACATAGAAATAGCAATGATTAAACATGATTACAGAAGAACTTGGGCTTTCTAAAAATTAGTATACTTTAAACACTAATGCTACAGTTTCAGAAATAATGTATTTGATTGATATAATTACCAAGAGGTTTACAGGAAAAGCTTTATTCATTTTCTCAGGATTGTTTAAAATTAGTTTCCTTGGTTTATGCCAAACAATCTATTATTCAGATTCTTAGAGAATTATGATAATGAGGGTTTAGTTTCTTTAACGTACTCTCACAAGTAATGCTAGATTTGTTTGTGTGTGTGTGTGCGCGCGTGTGTGCGCGTGTGCATGTGTGGCGGCAAATTATTTCACTGGGAAACAGAAATTTATCACCATTTAATTTTTAAATAAACTGGAATGCATGTAGATTATCACTAATCATGCCAAAATGGAGATGAGTTATAAAATTCTTGTGGGAGAGATGGGCAGAGCAATTTAAGCACTGCTGTGCTGGAGTAGCCTTGGATGAAGTTGAGGCATCTTTCTGCCCCATCTTTGCCGGTCTCCACCATCAGAGAGGCATTGCAACCACAGAAGTCCCTGCTCCACTTGCTGAAAGGATGGGTGGGGAGAAACTACCGCTGTCAATATCCCTACTAACAGTAAAAGGTAAAGGGACCCCTGACCGTTAGGTCCAGTCGGTCGCAGACGACTCTGGGGTTGCACACTCATCTCACTCTATAGGACAAGGGAGTTGGCGTTTGTAGCTTCCGGGTCATGTGGCCAGTATGACTAGGCCACTTCTGGTGAACCAGAGCAGCACACAGAAATGCCGTTTACCTTTCCACCAGAGCAGTACCTATTTATCTACTTGCACTTTGATGTGCTTTCAAACTGCTAGGTGGGCAGGAGCAGGGACCGAACAACGGGCGCTCACCCCGTCGCGGGGATTTGAACTGCCAACCTTCTGATCGGCAAGCCCTAGGCTCTGTGGTTTAGACCACAGCGCCACCCACATCCCAATATCCCTACTAACAGTAGCCAGTGTAAATCCCCAAAACTTTCTGAGGAGGAAGAGAACAGAGCTGAGCCAGCCAAGAAAACTGCTGAGAACTAAACTAGTCCAACCACTGCCAAGTTGTGCCAAGGGGTCGATCCTGGAGCTGGCACAGCAAACATGCAAAATTTTCCTGCTTCCCCCTTCCCACTTCCCCCTTGCCGATGTGAGTGGCAGAAGTGGCTCTGCTGTTTTGTTAAGCTTGATGCTGCCTGCAAGAGGCCAGGGTTGTTTCCTTAGTGTTGTTTTGGCAGACCACCTTATTTCCCCTCTCAGATTCAGAGCTTTGATCCAACTTGGGTTTGACAGATGGAACTAGCAAGAACTTTACCCTGCTCTTTATTTATATTTATTGAAATGCGGAATTCAGACTCAAGACACCTACTGCACTGCAATCTGGGGTCAATTTATGCATTATACAAATATTTATTCCAATGGCAGACTGCATAATTTAAAACACTGGTAGACTGGGCCCATGGTCAGAAGCAAGTTTTACAGAATCAATGGCATTTATTTCCAAGTAAGTGTTGAATGCAGATAGGCCTTGTTTCTACATAACTGTGGCCCAGCAGCCATCACCAGCTGATTCAGCTTGACCCTTTGGGGGGAAACACAAGGAAGGAAATGCCAAACTCAACTTTAACATCAAACTTCTGAATGGAGAACTATTGTGCACTGAAGCCTGTGTATGGCAGCCATACACAGAGGCTGTGTATGGCAGCCATCGACAACTCTTTCAATTTTTCAAAAGAGACCATCTTACATTATGCCTTACAATGAAAATGATCCATGATGGTTCAGTCTCTTTTGTGCCATGAGCTCTCTATCGATCCAGGTGATCATGTCAACAAATGCCATAGACAAATATCCTGACACAGAAGTCATTCTCTTATTAGTACTAAGGACTAACAATTCCTGGGCTGCATTCATAGAACATCTCCCCTTTCAGCTACACGCTGGAGGTCACAAATTAATCTTGACACCAACAAAAACTCTGGAGAAAGCAGATATATTGGCAGCTCTAAAGTCCTTCGATTTGCAATTACTCCTGTGGGTCAAGTTGAAACTTAAAGCAGTTAATCCAATAAGAGCAGAATTGCAGCAGGAGATTGCCTGCAGCATACATTCTTTGTTTTGTAATGGGAGAGGTGTTGGACAGAATGGCTGCTATATAACAGCACTAATGCTCTCCTGAAGCAGCCCAGCACTTTCATTCTACTATATCTGCCCTTTCTAGACACCGCACCTTTGCTATTTCGTAAGGTTGCTGTGAATATGAAATATTGCCTGTTTGTCTGTAATCAGAACATTCTCTGCAGTGTAAGAAAAAGTACACATTACACAAAGAATACATTACTGTTACAACACAGAGAGAAAACTTTAAGGAAAACAAACCTTTTCTGCGTGTATAACACAGAAATGATCAAGACAAAAAATTCTAATAAGCATTATGGTTGACAAAGATCATAGTTCAGTGCTTGAATTATTGCAATTATTATTGCAACCCCTTCTGTACCATGATAAAATATTCTCAAAGAAATGTTGGAGGGTGTGCAGTTATGTGACCCATGAGCCAAGGAGATAAGTAACTATACAACCTTTAGAAGATATCTTAAGGCAGCCCTGTATAGGGAAGTTTTTTTAAAAAAGTTTAATGTTTTATCATGCTCTTATTTATGTTGTAAGCATTCCAAGGTCAAATTAGAAACTGGAGTGGCTTCTGTAAATCTGGGACCATTCCTGGAAAATAGGGACACGTTGAGGGTCTGCAATAGCTAATACAGTTAACAGCTCACAGCCAAATTTTGCACCTTTCACAGGCACTTAAATACTTTTCACAGGCAACCCCATATTGCCATAATGTAGCTAAAATTTTGTAAGTGCATGGATCATAGAAACATAGAGTTGGTTGGGATCCTGTGGTCATCTAGTCCAACCTCCTGCAATGAAGGAATCACAGAATAGAAAAAAGAATCTATTTATTGGGATTTATTGATCTTATTAGTAAATACCTAACTGGTTTTATTACTGATGGGGGTTTGAGGATGCTTGCTAATAAATATCTGGAACTATTTGTCTGCTTAAAGAATTTTCCCTCCCTCATTCTTCAGCCATATACCATGTAGTGAAAGTGCTAATGAAAGTTTCAAAATCAGCATGTGATGTTACACTGAGGGTATAACATCTTTGGATAGCGGCTAACATAAACAATTAAGTCAACAATGCGAATGGGTACTTAATTTCTTATTAATCCAAGAAAAGATCTTCTCCGTCTAAACATGGATTTATAGAAAGCAGCGGGGAGCAGGGACCCCTCTGGACAAATATAATTTGGCATTTAATTTCCTTCTACCTTCTTGCAGACTGACTCACTGCGTTTCGCTGCCTAATGAGATATCTCACCAATTTCAAACTTGCCTTGCATCTTACTAAACGAAAAAAACGAAAAACTAGCAGGTGAAAATGGCATCAGCAACAGCAAGATTTCCAATCAATTCCCTCACACACCTCATGTTTGATTTTGTTCTCAGACACTTTTCAGCCTCAGCTTGACAAATGGTGTGAACAGATGGGAATTTTTTAATGACTGCCTTCAAAAGCATCATCTTGGCTATAATAATAAAAAAAAAACACATGTAATATGATTATCAGTGTTCTCCCATTCCAGTTACACCTGTTTCTATCATTTCTATCAGTATCATAGGATTTTATGCAAGTGATTTTATGCGAAAGACTAGCAGAGGATTCCCATCAATCTGCATTAGTCATAATGTTTTGTACTTTTTTTTCCCCTTGAAGGATGTAAATGAAACAATTATCTGTAGCAGTGCTGTTGGAGTGCATTATGCAAGATTACAACAAAAGCTATTTGCACTGACAGTGCATGCTGATTAAATACTTCTGCATAGAGATATGTACTTTCCCAGCAGGCACTAAGGATTTACTTATCAACTTGGAGACAGTTGGAAGAAAAGCATCCTGATCTGAAAACACATGGCAAGGAGGAAAGAAAATATGTCAAGAGAACAAAAAGTGATTCAGTAAAAATTTCAATATACACAAACATTTAGCTGAATTTGATATTGTGCACTTCTCCTCTAATCAGGTCCAAACTGGGATGGGCAAATCACCCTGTTCTTAGTCAGTGTCAGTCTCTCATGTATTCACTCTTAGTCCTTTTCATCCTGTTTCCGAGTTCATCCGTGATTGAAAGCACCTGCAATCAGATCAGAGCAAAAGATCTGTCATACAGCATTCATTGCAGACCCTCCAAGTGTCCCCATTTTCCAGGAACAGTCCTGGATTTACAGAAGCCTCCCCAGTTTCTGATTTGATCCTGGAATGCCCCGCTTTCCTTAGGATGTCCCTATTTTCTCCAGTGGGACGTCTCTATTTTCTTAGGAGAAATGTCAGAGGGTATGGAGTTATCCCCCACCCAAGCCATCTGAAGGCAGACCTGTATACGGAACCCTTTAATGTTTAATGTTTTAGTGTGTGAGTGTGTATGTGTGTGTGTGAAGCTGCCCATAATGGGGCAAACCAGTTAGATGGGCAGGGTATAAATAGTAAAAAAGCAGTAAGTAAGTAAGTAAGTAAATAGGACGTCCCTATTTTCATCAAAAAAAAATGTTGGAGGGTATGTCACTGTCACCATGTAACAAATGATAGGGAATGTTGACCAGTTGTGTCAGAATGGATGAGTTCTTTCTTTATTCAGAATGAAAGGAGTAGGAAGAGTTTGTCTTCAGGGACATCAATACAGCCAATGAGAGTTGGCTCTGTGTTATACTGTGATGTCATCTTCTTCCCCCAAGTGGTCCTCCATTGGCTTAGATTACACAGTGAAGAAGCAAGTTTTAAACAAACAAACAAATAGTGCTGAAGTGGGAACAGATTAACGTGTGAATGAGTTGAAAGTAGGGTTGTGCATCGAAAGAGTGAAGATTTATTGCAGTGCCGTGGCTAATGTGTTAAGTAAACAGTACACACTATCCAAACTTGGCAGATAAATTTTCATTCAATGTTCAGGACCAGTGTGAAGGTATATCCTACATTTATGTCATGCAGCAGTCTGAACAGGACTGCATTGGCGGGATACAGAACTGCATCTGAGCAGCCCTGATATGCAAATACATTTTCTTATCCCTTCTCAAGCTGTTGCCTGGTTGTATGTGTGGTTTCTGATTTAGCACTGTGTTCTATGTAAATAGACCCAGTTGCGGCATTCAAGCATCCGGTAATGGAACCTGCATGCACAAGAGATGCTGAACCAATAAGGAAATGCGTGCATAGAAGCCTGATCTCCTTTTCAAGATCAGGGTAATTTAATGATTAAAAACCCCCAATAGGATTGACAAAGCATGAGAAGACAAAGTGGGCCTCGAAGCTCGCCCACAAACAGCTTAGATTTTTATTATGGTATACACTGGGAATGAGCAAAATGAAGATTTGCCATGGATCAGAAATGGTTTCTGATTCACAAACATTTAACCATAGCAGCAAAAAAGGAATCCTCCCTGGAGGGGCAGAATCAGAAATAGATTTCTATGTAAAAGGATGAGAGTTCAGTCCTAGTACTGAAAATAAATCCTTGGGTTGAGAATGAGCTCAGAGGCTTCCTCCGTGTTCTGTAATACTAAGTACATATCAGTTTCCCCAAGTCACTGCTTTGCATCTGGTGAATCTGGGGGTTCTTGTACTAAATGAAGGAGGCTCATCACACCTGAAGTCCGCCCAGCTCAGTACTGTTCTTCAACAGCAGAAACCTAAGACTATGAGAGAAGCTGAAATAAAATATTTCAGAAATGTTTTCTAATACTTACAAAAGATAATAAAATGAAATATTTCCATTTGCATGAAAATGCCAGTTTAATCAATAGGAGGAAATTTGTATTCCTGAATAAAGAGCTAATGACTTGTGGAATGCATACCAATAATAACTGAAGAATGTTTCGCTTTATGAAATTTGCAGAACAAAATATCATGGGTAATTTATAATCCTGCTTAATTGAACTAATCAAGCTGCACTTTAAAACGTGCTTAAATTTAATTAGGAAACTAGCACTCCTTAACACTTTAGTAGTTAAAAGGCCAAATGCTGTTGGAGAGGCAAAAAAAAATAACAGAAGATAAAAATAAAATGAAGAAGAGGCAATATGATGCGTTGTAGGCTGTTTGCTTTCATTGTTGGGGGGGGGCAATAACAATGTAAGCACAATTCAGTCAGGCAGTTTTAAGTCCTATTGATTTTAATGTTACTATGATATAAGTACTGGAAGTAGTTGCAGATTAATTCCCATTGAAAAGTCCTTTAGTTTGTTTCATCATGCTTTGTTTATGTTTTTCACCCAGGCTCCCTTAAAGTGCTGGATCCAGTAGGGTTTAGAATTTAATCAATGCTTGGAGTCTTACCTTGGGTGCCAGATACGAGATTTAGCAAATCTTAAAATATAAGACAAGCCAGCTTCCCGAGTTCAGGAAATCGCATGGGAGAAGAGCCATTAAGGAGAAGAAAGAGAAGGTACTGGGCCATTTACAAAGCAAAGACCCTGTGCCATAATGCAGATGGGTGTGAACCCTTCCTTCAACAATGCCAGAGTTTTAGGATTGCGTTTAGGATCACAGTGGCAGTGATGTAACCTTGGGGAAAGATGTTGCAGTCTGTTAAATGCAACAAGCTAGAGAGGGAAAGAGGATGGTGGTGGATTTATGTTTGAATCCGAGGCTTTGGGAGAGGCAAGACCTTCTTGGGGTGTCAATGCTGTGAACCCCTCCATGGGAGACTCAGGTAGTATATATGTGTAAATAAGCCATATATTATGAAAACACCACAAGTCTCCACTGTGCCTCATTTCCAAAAGAAAACATGAACCCTGGGTAAGCACACCTGGAACCCCCAGAATCTTGTGCTCCTTGGAGATTGGAGGTTGGAGATTATGCATCAATACATAAATAAGAACCAGATATTTTATATTTTATATTTGGTTCCATCAATCTGTTATGAGTGATGGAGGTTTGATGCTGATGTGGAACTGCCCCTGCCCCTATGTCCTCAAGATGAAATGAATGGGACCACCTGCACATACAGGAACTCTGTTGTAATGAGCACAAATGGCTACAAATTGAGATATTAGGGCATTTCACACCCAAGATTTATGGTCATTCTTCTTTCTACTAGTTTAACAGTTGCATTGGCCATAATGGTCAGTAACATTAGTTATACATTTTTTTTAATCTGAATTAACCACAATCAGGCATTCAGTCTGATGTGACTTACACTCCCTAATTGCAAAGATGCCAGTCCTTATAACCTCTTTGTTCTTTTAGTTTATCTTTTGTTATCTACTTGAAAGAAAAATAATGGCATCATATGATACACCATGGCTTGCCTTGGGTCTTGAAACAACAATTTTTTCATCCAGGGTAAGATAATGTATTTAGTCCTGTTTCTCAAATAGTCTAGGATCTGATCAATGATATGGAGCTGAGTGCACGTTATATTAAATAGGGAATCTTGAAAAACCATGAAAACAGGTGGCTTTAGTTAAGTTATCCTTTTTTATTGCTGAAAGCCATATAAAATATATTGATATTAGCTTTAAGTATGAATATTTGAAATTAGTTTCCAGTGAAGCCTAATTAAATGTAATCAGTTGATGATAGCAGATGATTAGAGGCTATTAATTCTAATTAATAATTGTGCTTTATATTCACAAATGTGATTACCCGTGTACTACAAAAACAAGGGAACTGATTATTGCGAGCATTTTTTTAACCCTGGAATGTTTGCTCCAAAGTGGTCCAAAGGGAAATCGGTTGTCCCCACCCCCAACCTCAGGCCTGTTTTGGAGCTTCTGATGGACAGTCTATTGAGAATTTGATGCATTTTCATCCCCGCCCTCCATAAAAGGAATCCCCATAACCTAAGCCAAGTTCCACCAGCACTTTCTCCCCACATACCACTACAAAATGGTGTCTGCCAGCTTATAATAGGGGCCTATTAATTCAGTGGGTTCAATTAGGCCTTTCTACTGCACTCACTGGAAGCTGAGGCTCCAATACTTTGGGCACCTCATGAGAAGAGAAGATTCCCTGGAAAAGACCCTGGTGTTGGGAAAGATTGAGGGCACAAGGAGAAGAGGACGACAGAGGACGAGATGGTTGGACAGTGTTCTCGAAGCTACCAGCATGAGTTTGACCAAACTGCGGGAGGCAGTGGAAGACAGGAGTGCCTGGCATGCTCTGGTCCATGGGGTCATGAAGTGTCGGACATGACTAAACGACTAAACAACAACAACTGCACCAGCTTGACATAGTAAAGAGGCATTTTTCCTGCCCACCCCTTTCCACCCTGGCCAGTGGAAGTGTTGGGGTGGTGGATGCAACAGGGGCTATTAAGCCCCAACACTGCTGGCTAAGGTTTTGGGTTGTCTCATTAAAAAATGCTGACAACAGTCATGCAAATATCATAAGTCAAGATCTGCTACTCATTCAAATGTATGGCCAAGGTTTGAAGTGTGAGTGAGTAGGAAGGCTTCCTCATATATTTTGCATGGTTGGATGGTCCTCAGCATTGTTAATCTGTCACCGGGGTGACACTGAGTGAGGAAGGTGTCCCCCAAGCTATAAAATCTCATGGTTAGATTAATTCTTTAAGGAGCAGCTTGTCTTCTCTCTCTCTTCTCTCTCTCTCTCTCTCTCTCTATCTATCTATCTATCTCATGTGTGTTTTAATGAATGGAGTTTTATTATTTTTGAAGTGTTTTAAATGAGATACAGTAGTCATATCAGTGAAGTTATGATTTGTAGTAAGGGGGTTAGATGGGGAGTGCACTACTCTTGATTTTAAGGTGAAAAAACTGCATGTAAGGTATGGCTTCACAGGTTAAAAATCAGCAGGGACCTTGACAAAATCAAAAACAGCATAGCCAGTGCTATTTTTCTAGAAAAAGAGGTGCCGGAACTCACCATTAACACCTCCGTGGTTTTCTTAGAATGGCAATAGCACCCACCTGAGAGGTGACAGAACTGAGTTCCAGCAACTTCTGGCTGAAAAAAGTGCCCCGAGTACAGCTTATTTCTGAATTGCTATAAATACTCCTAAAAAATACTCCAAAGAATAAACTTTTAAGTAGTGAGGACAGATTTAACCATCTAATTCTCTCAACAAAGCCCAAGTCAGGAATCTCATGCCATCAGGATCTAAAGGGACAATCAACACCTGGAGAAAGACATTGGATGATGATAGTAGTAGTAGTAATAGTAGTAGTAATAATAATAATAATAATAATAATAATAATAATAATAATAATAATAATTTATTTATACCCTGCCCATCTGGCTGGGTTTCCCCAGCCACTCTGGGCAGCTTCCAGCAAAATATTAAAATGCAATAATTCATCAAATATTAAAAGCTTCCCTAAACCCATCCCTACCTTCAGTTGCACAACTGTTGATATAATTCTGTTATATTATTGGACTTTTATGTCATCTTTATTTTAACTTATTTATTTTATGCATTGAAGGATCAAGAATCAAGGCCATGAGAAAATCAGTCTTTCATAATATTCATAGTATGTGGACACTTCATTTATTGATATGACATTTGTATAACTATTCTGTTTTAAAATACTAATGTAATTCAAGAAAAACAGTACTGCAATAACTTCATTCTATGTATGGAGGTATGCATGTATTTAAAAGCATTTCTGTACCACTTACTCTTTTACAAATCTATAATCTCTATTGTACACTATGTACAATATAAAAATGTTCAAGAAAACACTCTTGATAAAACATTTTCCGAATTAATATTTTATGAATTTTTATTTTTGAAGGAGGAAATGTAGGAAGATCCAACATTTTGTCAATAATGTATACCATTATTTTGTGTAACTTAGGGAGGTGTGGGAGAAGCATTTCTAAGCAGATCACCTCCCAAGCCTATTCATCTTAAGGCAGTTAGAAAAATTGAATTAATGGCAGAATGGAGATATCTTCATGCGCCCCTAGTGGATGGGTAGGGAAACTAAGGCCCAGGAGCCGGAGCTGGCCCAATCACCTTCTAAATCCAGCCCGTGGATGGTCCGGGAATTGGCGTTTTTTTACATGAGAAGAATGTGTCCTTTTATTTAAAATGCATCTCTGGGTTATTCGTGGGGCATAGGAATTGATTCATTTCCCCCCAAAAATATAGTCTGGTGCCCCACAAGGTCTGAGGGACAGTGGACTGGCCCCCTGCTGAAAAAGTTTGTGACCCCTGCCCTAATGAGTGTAGTCAATAGTGTCAATGTTTGCCAAGGTTTAACGAGGATGACATTACAGGATTCCATTTCAAACTGAGTTTGGGCAGATAGTTTGAACTGACATACAGTGGTACCTCTGGTTAAGAACTTAATTTGTTCTGGAGGTCAGTTCTTAACTTGAAACTGTTCTTAACCTGAGGTACCACTTTAGCTAATGGGGCCTCCCGCTGCCACCGCAGTGTGATTTCTGTTCTCATCCTGAAGCAAAGTTCTTAACCTGATGTACTACTTCCGGGTTAGCGGAGCCACTCACCTTTGTAACCTGAAGCATCTGTAACCCAAGGTACCACTGTATATGAATGGTTGCTTTAGGCCTGGCTTAAAGGCCTCGTCAAAGCCCAGAGCAACACTGCTTTCACCCTGGTCCATGCTATAGCCATGTCCCCTTCCAGCTGCTACCGGTATTGGCTCCTATCCCAAACCAATGCAGAGCATCATCTGCAATGTACCATGAACCCAAGCTAGACTCCTCCCCTTTATCTATGCAGGAGGTACAAGCATGCCCACTGTAGACACTTATTTTCCAGGGATGTCTCTGATTTAGAGAAGCCGTCCTGGTTGATCCTGGAATGACCCACTTTTCCTTAGGATGTCCCTATTTTCATTGGAGAAATGTTGGAGGGTATGGACCCCCCCCCCCAGCCGTCTGAAGGTAATCCTGTATAGGGAAGATTTTTTTAATGTTTAATGTTTTATTATGTTTTTATATATGTTGGAAGCTGCCCAGAGTGGCTGTGGCAACCCAGTAAGATGAGTGGGGTATCAATAATAAAATTATCATTATAGAATGGGATGTCCCTATTCTCATCGGAGAAATGTTGGTGGGTATGCCATTGCTGAGTGTCATTATGATATCATTAATGACTTGCCCAGCTCACCCATTGGACAGTGTTGGCCAGCCCATCTCTTTCACATATCATATTAGGCAACTTCCATCATCTCTTACTACTGGCCACATTTGGAGGATGGGTGGGTTGCTCCAACAACATCTAGCCCTGTGCAAGAGGAAATGGCAAGAGACAAAGACTTGGGTCTCCTCCTTTGGCATTTCTTGTAAACATGTGAAGGAGCTCTCTGACTCTAAAGTGGATCCCTGGGAAGCAAGTTACTTCAGATCACTTGTTGGGGGTCAAGTCTGGTCTAGGTACCCACAGAGTTAGCTGCTATAAAAACAGACACATGAAGATGTAGAAACCTTCACAAAAGACTTCACCTTTTATAGGACGTCCTTAAGAACACCTAAAACAGAAATAAGCCAGAATTCACAGAGCATGGTCCCAGGAGTGAAACTCTGTTTCACAGACCACTTCAAAAAGAAATTACTTTCATATATACCCATCAGGACATTTTACTCTTTTTTCTCTCAATTATAGAGTGATATCTCTTCCATTGGCTGCTCAGACATCTTTTCTACCACAGCTATAATATAAAGGGTATAAGTAAAAACTAATCTAAGACTCCTAACGCCTTTGTTCTGCAGTTTATGGCACTCATTGCTGGAGTAATGACCGGTTTCTTATGTCAATCATACTTGAGATTGTCTTTTTTGATGTAAGTTGGCCCTTTAGTATCTGTAAAATTTTAACCTGTGGTCCTACACACACACCTTCCCCACTCAAAGCAGAAACAATAGCCTCTATGAGCAGTGGGGCAGTTAGGTGATTCGAGATTCTGCTATTATGGTTTTATGGGGGTCTTCCCTCTGTAGATGGCAATTATATTTTACTTCAATGACTTCAAAATGTGAAAAGCCAGCTCAACTGTGTTTGGGGGCTCTCCTGCTCATTCTCCTGAGTGAGGCCCCAGACATCTCCCCCGAAGTCCTCCCCTGCTGGCATTGCTGTTTATGAGGGTTTCAGAAGAAAATTGTGGTGATGGCAAAAGCCCAGGGCTTTGGAAAAAAACAAAACATAAGCCTGGAATAAAAATTAACATAAAAATAATTCAAAACACTTGGGGAGGAGGGAGTCAATCTATACTCTTGAAAGGCCTCTAGAACTAAATTATGCCAAGATTTGGTGGCTAGTGGGAAGTATATGAGCTGGATGTGAAATTTAAGTCCTAAAAAGATTATATTATATATATATACACATTAAATGAAAACAGGGAGTTGAGCTGAGCTATGGTCTTTGACCCTTCCTTTGACCTAGGAATGGTTGAGAAATTTGGTTCAGGTCTCATTTGAAGCTGAATCTATCACGTCCCTAAATCACCGAGGGTTTGAGACCCAGAAAAATTAGGCCACAATTCACACAAATCAAATATTGCAAACATCAGGTGCTTCGAAAGAAATTATCTGAAGTAAGTGGGTTGTGAATGATAGCCACAGCTGGCCCAAAACACTTTGTTGCCTAGGGCAAGCGCTAAACAGAGCCCACACCTCCTAAGTCAAATGCATTGGACCCAAGACTAGCCAAGTTATTTTGCACCTGAAAATCCCACAAGCACTTTTCCCCCTTCTCTTTCTTTCTGTCTCTCTCTCTGGCAGTAAAAGTCTACTAATAACAAATTAAACGGCTAACAATTTGCTCCCCTTTCATGAGACCTACAATCAACTGCCTGAGGCAGCCACCCCACTCTGCCCAATGGTAGGGCTGTTTCTGATTATAGCCTTGGGAGATAATGTCTTCAGTTCTGCTGCATCCTTCCCTCTTTCTGCCCATACCTGGCACAGTAAACCACTTACTTTATATTGGATATTTGTTAAAGCTGTTAGGAGATCAACATGCCACACGCTCTTCAGAAAAGTAGTTTGCATTGTGACATTCGGCTTTGAGACAGATGTTGACATTCAATAAGGGTAGCGGCGGTGGAGGAGGAAATACCTTGTACTCCATCAAGGAGGACAGTGTCAAAAAGTGCACAAGCTTTCATAAGGGTAATGAAAGATGCTCTCTGCCCTTTGCTTTATCGTCTTTCGAGTTTCAATTTCATACCCTAACCCCTGAAAACGTCAGCCTTGTACAGAGCCGTGCCAGTCAGATTTCTAAAATCCACTTTCCAAGCACAGTTCTTGTTTGTTTTGCCCTTTCGCTGAGATGCTGAACCTCTACTGTGCTATTCACTGGCCAAACAAGCAAGCAGACATCCAATTCATAGTCCTTGCATTCACTACTAATCTGCAGTTTAAAGGAATGCAGATCTTAAGCAAAGCAGCTATATGAGCAGGACCAGCTGTTTCTATGTTTAGAAGGTATGTGTAGTAAGAGCAAATCTGCTCAAATTGCTCTCTCCTGGGGAAAAAGTTTCCATTTACAGATCAGCTGTGTGGAGTGCAAAGATCAGATGCAACTGAAGCTCTCCTCCCACAGTGTCTAACACTGTATTCAGTGTGATAGACTTTACACAAACTCTCCTCAACGCCGTTTGGAAATAGGTTACCAGCTACAAAGGAAAGTTCATCCCTTGCCAATGTACGCAGCACAACTTCATTTCATGAGCTGCAGAAGAACTTTTGAGAAAAACAGCATTCCTTTCATATTTCAGCTGAGCATTACAAGATAGGCAAATTTGTGTTCTCAACCAGGTCGTTATGAATGATGGACATTTCTCTGTGTCAAACAGCATGCCAAAGCTCTGTCCCACCGTCCCACCCCCAATTCCTCTGAGCAAATTTGTATGCATATAGGGTTTTGTTTCCCCACAATCCACATGAGAAGGAAGAAGTAAAATACAGAAGTGAGGGCCCCCATCCTCAAAAACTGACACACCACATTCAATTCATCACTGTTTCAATTAAGTAGTGCTTTAACCAGATGGTCAGAAAGGCCATGACTCTAGCTTGGGTGCAGTTTGGAAGACTTTCTAGAACTGAACTCAAATTTTTCTCAGATTTTTCTTTTTCAGACCACTCCCAAACAGTTGGAGAATTTCTCTCACACATAATAATAATAATAATAATAATAATAATAATAATAATTTTATTATTTATACCCTGCCCATCTGGCTGGGTTTCCCCAGCCACTCTAGGTGGTTCCCAACAGAATATTACAAACAGGATAAAAATCAAACATTAAAAACATTAATCAGAGAAATACCCCTTCCCAGTTGACCTCTTGTGGATAGGGTGCAACTGTGGATCTAACCCAATATACAGTGATACCTCAGGTTAAGTACTTAATTCGTTCCGGAGGTCCGTTCTTAACCTGAAACTGTTCTTAACCTGAAGCACCACTTTAGCTAATGGGGCCTCCTGCTGCCGCCATGCTGCCGGAGCACAATTTCTGTTCTCATCCTGAAGCAAAGTTCTTAACCCAAGGTACTATTTCTGGGTTAGCGGAGTCTGTAGCCTGAAGCGTATATAACCTGAAGCGTATGTAACCCAAGGCACCACTGTATTTTAATATTGTTTAAGGAAGCACGCTGTCTTAACCCATTTCTTTTTTCATCCAGCAGTATGAACTAACAGTTCTGTTTCTTTCAGTTTTAAGCGAGCCAGAAAAATTGAGCAGAAGAGAACCTTATGGGATTTTCTGACATTTTCCCCCTTTGTGCTACTGAAGAATTCATTCCACGCTCTCCTAGAGAATTTTCTGTAACTTCCCATTTTCCTGGGCCTGATGGGAGCTGTAATTCAAAACATCTGGAGGGCAACAGATTGGTGAAGGGCTGACCTAATCATTTGTGGGGTATCTTCTGCTAATCTCCGTCCACACCAGTTTCAACAGGGCTGCTTGCATCTGTAACTCGCCCTTCCTTTGCTAGTTTCTACCGTGCTGAATTGAAGCATACAGATTCAGAACATGCCAGGCACAGCTGCCAGATGTCAAGCAAATAATATCTGACAGCAAAATTGGAGATCACATTAGTGTCATGGCTCTCCAAACCCTTTTGCATCGCGGAGGCTCTCTTCATCTTTTCTTGTCATGAGGGAACGAAATAATATGCATACATCCAATATATGTTCCAGCGAGATGTCTTGCTAACCAGTTTCTTTTGAGTTTCCCAAGCCTTGAAAAAACGTATTGCATAAAATTAAAATTTGATAGTAATTGTCATCCACTACTGGACAGAAGAATTCTCTCTATTTTTGGTCTAACACACTCTAACTTTCTGTGACCCTAATGCAACATAATGGGTGTACATGAGTCCAGTGAGAAGACCAGTTGCAGGCTTCACGGAGGCAGGGCAAAAGAACATGGCTGAAAGGAGTAAATTAGCAGTCTGCCTTGAATGACAACCTGCCATTTTGATGGATAACTTCCCAGTGCTCTGTTTGGATGCTGATCATAAGTGAACTCTGCATTTCATTCATTACAAATTGAAAATCAAATCTGGTTCTTCAGTCTCATTTGAGGGTCCCCAGAAAAGAATTCAGGGCTCCAGACTGCCAAAAGCATCTTACTGTGGGCCTAGAATCATACAATAAAGTTGTAAAAATGCTGCTTACAATTATCTCATGGCTGTCTTGTTCATTTAACATATCCGTCATATTGCCTTTTTACATGCTGACAATTGGCACTGAGAAAGGCAGGTATGCACTCATGATATGCGACTGTGTACACCTCAGTTTGTGTGTTTTTCCTGCATGTAAGTAGGGAAAATAAATGTCACTTCTAAAACATCCCGTGCTTGCTGTGTTTTTGTTTTTAAATCTACTTCACCTTTTAGAGGAAAACTGCTAGCATCTTAAGATATGCTAAAAAACTTCCGCATATCAAAATTACACTTTGCAAAATAAAACCAGTGTAAAACCAGTGTGACGGGGCTCAAATCCAATAAGCCACCTTCATCTATGACTTCCCCCAGCATAAGTTGGAGAGTTTTTAATACCTTTTTTAAAAAGTGTCAAGTGACGGAGCCCACTTAATTTCTGTGGGAATGTTAAATTGCACTAAACATAGCGATGCATACGATAAAGTTAGATGTTTAATTTTGGGTATGTGACATGATCCTTGTTTTCTCTTTTGCTCTTATATTATAGAAAGTGTCTTAGCTTTTTGATGCTAACTTTCCACTGAGTTTGTTCCTTTACTGTCAAAGTTACTCTGTTACCATAAATATCACCTGCAGGAAAATGACACTAACAGCTCCATATTTGGGGGAGGGAGAGCCAGGCATCATCAGGCATCTCCAATTTTTATTGAAACTGGTTTACCAGAGCACAACGCATCTCAAAATTCCTACTCTTAATATTTTACGTAAAGGTAAAGGGACCCCTGACCATTAGGTCCAGTCGTGACCGACTCTGGGCTCATCTCGTTTTATTGGCCGAGGGAGCCGGCGTACAGCTTCCGGGTCATGTGACCAGCATGACTAAGCCGCTTCTGGCGAACCAGAGCAATGCATGGAAACGCCGTTTACCTTCCTGCTGGAGCGGTACCTATTTATCTACTTGCACTTTGACGTGCTTTCGAACTGCTAGGTTGGCAGGAGCAGGGACTGAGCAATGGGAGCTCACCCCGTCGCGGGGATTCAAACCGCCAACCTTCTGATTGGCAAGTCCTAGGCTCTGTGGTTTAACCCACAGCGCCACCCGCGTCCTTTAATATTTTAAATAGAGCTTAATTTCAGACAACCTGAAATGGCTTCTTCTTATATTCTGAAGTCTCTGCCATTTCAGGAGTGTATATATGCAGTGGCAATTATAGGCTACATAGCTGTATTATTTATTTATTTTGCTCTACATGCGCTCTGAATGAGGGATATGACCCACATTTCCTACACCATATGTTTGCCCTGCCTTAGAATGCCCCGTGACTCCATATACCACCATTTCCATAATAACATTTTAGCTTTTAGCCTCTATTGCCCATTTTACAAGATTCTCCCCATGAAGCCATATGTCACAAAGCATGAAAATGTCACCAAGCAACCCTTTTCAATTAATATTTCCACTGCTATTTTCCTCTCATTATTTTAGCCTGGGTCTAGTCACTGCTGGCTACGATAATTAAGGCAAGCTGCTTCTCCGTAATTAAACTCCTGTAATAGTAGTTTGCACAATCTGGAATGTCAGACTCTAATGTTGCGCTCAAGCCCTTCTTCCAAAATGCCTCCAACTATCTTGGGAACTATTCCAGATAATGGGCTCCTGTTTGCTTGATATTCTATTTGCTATGTCTACCGAAAAGCAAGAAATGAGCTTCAGGGCAAAATGCTGCCTATACTGTAATCAATTTTCTGATGTTGGCTTAGCTTGTTGAATAAGGCTCAGGCAAGTTTGTATTTGAGACTTATGCTTCTTTCCCCCCTTTAAGCCTCAGTAAAGTGAGTAATGGGAGGGCCTGTTGTATTGCCCATAGCTGTTATTGACAAACCTGCATAAGTGCTTTTCGGCTCGATTCACCTGCTATAATGAGTTGCAAAACTAACTCTTCACTAAATCACCACAGGGGGTTTTAAGGCACAGCCGTGCACAAATGGCTTCTCGAAATTTCACACCCTCTTTTTGCATTTGAGGGCAGAGGAATTGGGTGGGCCAATTCATCACATCCATCATAGAATGCCACCATCCCAGAACAATTTCTAAGGAGTGGGGCTCACTGGGCAGTAGCAATAACACTGTGCCTGTCTTTCCAGGGGATCAAGTGCCCCAGGTGGAAGATTTATTATTATTATTATTATTATCATTATTATTATTATTATTATTATTATTAAAGGTAAAGGGGCCACTGACTGTTAAGTCTGGTCGCCAACGACTCTGGGGTTGCGCCACTCAACTTGCTTTATTGGCCGAGGGAGCCGGCGTACAGCTTCCGAGTCATGTGGCCAGCATGACTAAGCCACTTCTGGCGAACCAGAGCAGCGCACAGAAACGCTGTTTACCTTTCCCCCAGAGCTGTACCTATTTATCTACTTGCACTTTGACATGCTTTCAAACTGCTAGGTGGGCAGGAGCAGGGACCGAACAACGGGAGCTCACCCCATCGGGGGGTTTGAACCGCCGACATTCTGATCAGCAAGCCCTAGTCACTGTGGTTTAGACCACAGCGCCACCCATGTCCCAGCATTATTATTATTATTATTATTATTATTATTATTATTACTACTACTACTACTATTAATACCCCACCCATCTGGCTGGGTTTTCTGGGCGACTTACAATACATTTAAAAGCATAGTAAACTTGCTGATACAAGGCTGCCTTCAGATGTCTTCTAAAGGTTGTGTAGTTCTTTATCTCCTTGACATCTGATGCAAGGGAGTTCCATAGGGAGGAATTAGCAGAGCGGCAAACTGTTACCTGACCTGATGGCTCTGCAGCGCTGGCATTTGGGGGAGAGAGAGAAGCAAGATGTGCCACAACACGTTCTTGGTGACTTCACGTTCTGACCACCCACTTCTAAAAAGCAAAACCTTTCAACAGTGGTGCTGGGACGTAAGGAGAATTTGGGTTCATTCTCTCCCTACGTTACTCTGGGTGCATTATAGAAGATGAAAATTATGGCCACTGCAAAGTATTAGAAATGAATTAGAAGTGACCATCTACATGTCTGTACACCATGTTCATTTGTAGATAGATAATGTTCAGTAAACACAACCCTTCCCCAACCTGGTGGCTTCCAGATGTTTTGAACTCCAACTCCCATCATCCCCAGTCAGCACAGCCAGTTGTCAGAGATGATGGAAGTTTTGCTCGAAACATCTGGAAGCTACCAGGATGGGGAAGGCTGCTATGGAATGAAAATGAGCTCGCAGGACACAATAGGCATGTGGAAGTTCATAAACAACTCTGCAAGTTATATGTTGACTTGGCGCTTTTGCAGAAGATGCATCTGTTAGAAAGCAAGAACAGAACATCATTAATTACAATTTATAGATGCATTGATGCTTACGCCATCCTTCGGTGCCTTTTTGGAGCAACTGAGTTTTATATCATAGTCAATTTTGGAATCAATCAGCACTGTAGTCCTGTTTACTCAAACGTAAGTCCTGCTGAAATGATTTCAATGGTTCCTGCTCCCTCGTAAGTGAGCTTACGATTTCAACCCAACAGTGCAACTACATGTCTTTGTTCAGTATGCATAGGATTGCATTCTATTCCATTGCAAGAGATGCACTGAAATACTCTACTGAATCTACCATAGTGGAATACTCTTTTGGGTGCTATTTTGTTCTGCTTTCTCTCTCCTTTTTGTTTTATTCTCTAGAAATGTACAGGGTCATCTTACCCCATTCCTCCCTCATTTTCCATCTTCAAAGTGAAGTTTAAAAAACCTTTGTATTGTTTGATACGGTTGCTCCGGAGGGCTTCGTTATAAACTCCTTCACATTTTATTCTTTCTAGGCTAGTGACATAAATGCCAATTTACTTCAACTCAAGCAGACTTCAGAAATCAATACCAAAGATCATTGTCTGAACTAGTAAATCTTGCCAGTTTTCACGAATAAATGGGCAGTTATAGAAAACAGTTAATCAAATGAATATGGTTCTGTCTAGTAGTGTTCTCAGCATTTTTAAAATAAATAAATAAATAAAATCTTTATTGACTTTGTTCCAAAGAGAAAGATCCTTATCAAATTATTGAGTTCAAACTCAATTGTTCTATATTAATGTCTATAGTAACCTATCTGCTTTGAAGAAATTATTTGGGCTTATTGCTTAAATGTTTTAGTCAATTTGTGTTTGCAGATGATTTGCTCAGATTGTACTTAGTAGATGCCTCGGCAAGAATTTTGTTCAAGTAGAATATCTGAACTGCAAAATTCTTGAGCTGTTGTGATGGTGGACAAAAGATCAGTCAAAATGGTTCCATCGGCACTAGATGACAGCAGTGTTAGAACAAGTGGTGGAGTGGCTAGGTGAAATGGAGAACAGGCTTTGTGCACTTTTACTAGTTGTGTAGAAGAGGGAATTTCAAACAGGTGTAACTTGCATATCATCTTACTCCATTCCTCCTTCAGGAAGTAAAGGAACCTTGTCCTCTGTTGCAGACATGTTAAACTGGGTGGCCTCTACAGTTAGATCGCTCGGGTGCTCCAGATTGATCGTGGGACTTTAAAAAGTGATTGCCTTGGTTCTCCTGATCGATCGCTCCTTGCCTCACCCCCTGTGCTATGTCCCATCACCGGCTGTGAAAGGGAGGAGGGACAACGGTGGACTGTTGGGTACAAGATTTTATGCAAATCCCCCAAAAGAATCTCCACAACTCTGGGCACTCCTCCCTAAAAAAGCTCGACAACTCTGGGCAATGCTCCCCCAAAAAACTTGACAACTCTTGGCAATGACTGCCAATTTTATTATACTGGGAGTAGAGCGCAGCCTCTAGAGAGTTGGACGTGCCTGGTCTACTGCATCTGACCAGCCTATTAAGTGGGTTGGATGAAGAGCAAGTCCTGGGGCTGGACAGGGAGTGATCAAAACGGGAAATTATCAAATGTTTAGTGCATAAATACAAGTAGAATAGCTGCCAAAGTGAATATAAGGTCATGTCCACATTTAAAGCACATGACTTCTCCCAAATAATCCTGGAAACTGCAGCTTACACCACAGAGGGCTGGAATTCACAACACACTTAACAAAGTGCATTTTCCACAATTGTTATAAAACTATTTCTGAGCTGTTGGTTTGCCTATAATGTGTGTCAACTAGTTTATCCTACTAATATTCATTTAATGAATATTGTATTCATTTAGTAAATATTAATTTCATTTAATGAATATTATGATGTGCTCCTCACTTTTCTGAGTTTAACTTCCTTTGGATGAAAGAGTACTAGAGACTTATGTAGTCTTTTTAATATACTTGTTTTACTTGTAAATGCATAAAAAAGAGCACGCGATGCAAACAGGAAATTCAAATTCAGAAAACTGGAAATCCAACAGGGAACAACTTGGGCAGTTTCCCCATCTTCCAAGACTGCATTTCATCAGACACAACACGGGACTGAGACCCCATCCACCATAGTGAATTATCTTTCCAGGAAACATGGCAAACTATTAAAGGAAACTGAAGGGTTGTTGCTGTTGTTATAGCGCTCAGACCAGAAATCTCTGTATGCAAAACCACTGTTTAGAATAACACAAAGGGAAAACTCATGATGACATTAATTATTTCGGGCTCCGGGAAACAAATGGGTAATTTTTTTAAGTGTTTGTGAAAATATGGAACGGAATTTTAGAATTATGCAAGAACTTTTAATTTGTGAAATTACCAATTAAGCCCCTTTGAAAGCCTATCAGCCTGAAAATGTTACACTGAACTTGAAGGAATGAGATGTTTGAGCTACTGTTTTGTATTTAAAGTTGCACTCTCTGCATTCTTATTACCCATTTTGCTTTTCCCCCCCGCTTTTTTATTTTTTTATTTTTTTTTTTGCAGCAGAAGCTGTTCTGAGCCAGCAGTTCAGCTCTGAAGCCTGAAGCTTTATATCAGTTTCTGTTAACTTGCTTCATTCTGTCTGCCTCAGTGGCAACTGGCTTATACATATTTCTTTGCTTTCTTTATTTCTCGTTATTATTCCTACTCCTCTCTTTCATCTTCCATGTCTATAAACTTTTTTCATCCCTGTGATCCATGGTAAATGAAACAGAGAAGCAGCCTATTTTAGATTAGAACTCAGCTGTGCAAGATTCTATTTTACAATGCAAGGCAACACACATTGATATTGGAGGGCACCTGCTTTACTACAAATAAAGTACAATATAACTTCTGAAATTCTAGCCATGGGCAGAATAATTTTTTTAAAAATCAAGTAGGTATCAGAAGAATTTATTAACGAAGGGTATTAAAAGTTTCTACACATTGTTTGGCCCTGATCCAGAGATCCTCAATTGCTCTAGGGTGCTGAATACCTGTGCATTTATGTTCAACAATTTTCTCCAACAAACAGGTAGTTGGTCAGTTTTCACACTGCTAGTTACCTGATGGAAAGGCAAGGGGGGGTCATGCCTTGAACTGGCTCTCTAAGGTGATAGGTACTGACAGTAAATTCCATTGATACTGACAGACTCATCCACCTTGTTTAGCCATTGTTGCAGAATGCAGAATGTAAACATGAGTGGAGGCCATAGGGGAATGTACACTAGTCCTCAACCTTGCATCCCTGCATGCACCAGCCCCTGTGCGCTCCCTCACTGAGCTGGAAAGTGGGAATGGGTTTTGTAAATGCTTTTGAATGAACACACTTAGAAGCCCACAGTTGGGAACTCAGATTATTGCATAATTCCCAATCACACAGGGGCTTCGAATCATCTTCGGTCAAAAGCATGAAGAAGCACCCTGTAGAAGCACATAAGAATTCTAACATCTATCTATCTATCTATCTATCTATCTATCTATCTATCTATCTATCATCTATCTATCGTCTATCTATCTATCTATCTATCTATCTATCTATCATCTATCTATCTATCTATCTATCTATCTATCATCTATCTATCTATCTAGAAATTTATTAAAGGTCAAGGAGACAAGTGGTGGTCTGGATCCTTTAAGCAACTTGTCCATGTCATCAAGCTGATATCAATTGAACTTCTCAGGGTGTATGAGGTTCAAGATTATCATGCGCACACACCAAAATGGCATTCTTCTACATCCATGTAGCTACTTTCCACTGACTCCAATGGCGCATATAGAATTTTGATCCCTCTGGCTTTCTGCAAAGAGCCATGTGGTTGCGGAAGAAGAAATAATGACAAGTGATCACATTAGGGAATAGGACTAGTGGCAGATCATCATAGGAGGAGCACGTTTCCCAAATTAAAATCAAAGAAAGGAGAGAAGGAGAGAATCCATGATAGCTGGGCCAGAATATTTGTGAAATGTGGATTATAGGGAGCTGCCTTATGCTGAATCAGACCACAGCTCCATCTAGGTCAATATTGTCTACAACAGGGGTAGGTTCACCAGGCCTCTCCATTTGGTCCATAAGGCCATTTTGCCTAAGCCACAGTTACCCACCCTACATGAGATATCATATTTGAAATCAAGTATAGGACAAGCAAAGGGGTGCCTTGGACAAAAGGAGCTTTGCAGGTGCTACAATCAGTACTTCCCAAGTGCAGTCAGTCAGGTGTCCATTGGCTTTTCCAGCGCTGCTGACACAGGAGCCAACTCCTAATCCCCCCAATAAAATATTTCAGGGGTCAGGGCTCCCAAAGTTGATGGGCATTGCCCAAATAAGGTGTGTGTGATGCTTCTTGTGATTGATTATGCAGGGTGGGGCTTACCTGAGGCCTCCCTATATTTTATTCAAGTTGGCACCCCTGGATTAGCTGCTGGTTGGTGCTTGGGAAGTTCTGAACCCACTTTTTGTTTTGCCCACATTCTTTCTTTGGGAAGGAGAGGCCTCATAAGCCACACACCCCATGGTTGTTGAAGGTCCCTTGCAGGGCTCAAGGGGAGGTTCTCAGCCAGAAAATGCCTTATAGTGTTTATTTCTTTCAAGGGTTGTAGAAGGCCCCAATAACAAGGCCCCTAGTGGGGTAGAAGCAAAATGGAAATGCAAGTAAGCAGAAAGAAACGGATTTTTAAATAGAACTAATCTTTTTTTTTAAAAAAAAGAGTAGAAATCAAAATTTCAAATGAGCCCTCATACACCGGAGACTCAAATCCTCTGTTTACTTGAGACAGCACAGTGCTGGCATGAATAATGCATGCTTCTCCACAGCTGCTGAGCCAAGTCCCCACTTCTCTGCCAAATACCACCTATTTTCCTGCAAAGAATAGGTGGTTTCATATGCTCAAAGGCAGGAGATGTTTTGAACAGGGTGTGTGGATGTGTGCAACATTGCTTTAGCCTACGCACTGATTGCTGATACATTGCGCCCAGGGTTAAGCTTTCAGTCTCTAACATCTTACTTTCATTATTGCTCTCTGAGGCAAAATGTTAAAGAATCTTATGATCAGAAAGCAACCCCATTACATCTCTTCTCCCTCTTTTTGCAGTTCTTAAAAGACTGTGATGTGAAGACGCCGAACAATTTCAGTTCCTTTGTTATTTTATTTTGCTGCCTTCATTCCATAAAGGGTCTCTCCATTAGGGATATTGATTTGGGATATTATGTTGCTTAGGTAGGTTTCATTTAAGACTTTACACTCTTAGCTTTAGCTTCACTGTTTGCTTCAGCATGACAATTATATTCTCCTTTGAAGCGATGTGCGCTTTCAACTCCCATGCAACTGTGATAAAAACACTTTGACTCTGTTCTTCAGCTTGACAAAGCATTAACTAGGAGCGCTGCCTCAAAACAGAACAGAACAAAATCCTGAAAACAACATCTGTTTAGTATCATGTCTCTCATCACCTGCATTTATTTCGTCAAAATACTTAATATTTACTTTACCCATATCTACTGCCTCTTCAGCTCAAAGGACCAGCTCCTTTACATCTCATTGACCCATGGAATGAAGGAGGTTGCTTTGAGCCCAAGTTGCACCACTGCAATTCTGTCCGTTTACCTAGTTTCATATCTAGTAGCTCCCCAGCCCTAGGTACACGGGTGGCACTGTGGGTTAAACCACAGAGTCTAGGACTTGCCGATCAGAAGGTCAGCGGTTCGAATCCCCGTGATGGGGTGAGCTCCCGTCGCTCGGTCCCAGCTCCTGCCAACCTAGCAGTTCAAAAGCACGTCAAAGTGCAAGTAGATAAATAGGTACCGCTCCAGCGGGAAGATAAACGGCGTTTCTGTGCACTGCTCTGGTTCGCCAGAAGTGGCTTAGTCATGCTGGCCACATGATCCGGAAGCTGTACGCCGGCTCCCTCGGCCAATAAAGTGAGATGAGCGCCACAACCCCAGAGTTGGTCACGACTGGACCTAATGGTCAGGGGTCCCTTTACCTTAACCTTTAGCTCCCCAGCCTGATTTTCTTGATAAATGCAAAATAAGGTAAGCCTCTGAATATCAGTTTCTGGGTATCACAGTTGGGAAGAGTGCTGTTGCACTCAGATTCTGCCTTCAGGATTCTCACAGGTATGTCATTGGCCAGTGTAAGAAAAGGATTCTGGTTGAGACGTCCCTTTGGCTTCATATTCTTATGTACCTAAAAACCACAAAATTAACAGTTACATGAATACAACAAAAGCAAACCTTGCTGTATCCCCAAACTGCCAAAATGTTGTGAGACTGGAGTGGGGCAATTGTTCTTATTTTAAAAGGGGGAAGATCTAGTCAGCTTGTAATCAATACCAGGACGTTTTTTCCAGCCAGAACTCAGTTCCGGCATCTCTCAGGTGAGCACCATTGCCATTATAAGAGAGCACAGGAAGCATTTATGGTGAGTTCCAGCACCTCGTTTTCCAGAAAAATAGTACTGATTGATACCTAGAACATGGAAAAGCTGTACAAAATCTGTGTTTTTCTGATGCATACGAAACTACTTGAGATATACTCAGAGTCCTGTAGTGATTTCATGCTCTTTATTGCAGCTTGTAAAACAGTGATTGAATTGCCCCCCAAACCTCAGGCTTTTATATACATTATTTACACAATGAGTCCTGGCTGATTCTGCTTCCCTCCTGGAGCCTGATTGGTCTTTTCCTGCAGGCCAATCAGTTGTTGCATTCTACGATCCTACCAGCCTAACAGGCTGATTAACTTCCTCCTGGAGCCTGATTGGTCTTTTCCTGCAAGCCAATCAGTTGTTGCAATCTAGGATCCTACTTGCCTATTGTTCTAGGATCCAAGCTTAGTACATAACATTAATCTTTTAAAGCAAAGCCACTGTTTTTAGGACAGAAGGGATTGCATCAACATAGCACAGTGCCTTGCAAATGCTCACAGCTAGCGCTGTAGATTTGTGTCACAAACTCATTTTAAATAGTGTCATTCCCAGCGTGTATTACTGCTATGATTTGTTTTCATTGATCTGGCAAAGCAGACTGATCCTCAGGGCAAATATTAGCACCCAGTGAAGATATCCCCTATCTAAATTAGAGGAATTACAAGTTTTCAGTGCTTCCCCTTTTTTTAGCTTGTGTAATGGTTAACTTTTCCTTGGAAAAACAGCTTTGTTCATCACCAGATCTGTTTTTATTTAATACTTGTTTGAGAAGCCTACCCTTCCAGTGCTTAAGCAATGCAGTTACTTGGTGTACAGCAATAAAAATATATGAATACAATATAAATTAGAGACAGGCTCAGATAATTATGCTGAGTTCACTGTAGAAAAGTTTATTTCAAAACTTGGCTGAGAGGATGGTTCAGCCAGGACTGTTGAACCTGAGACCCAAAGAAGGGATGCGTCAGAGAACTCTGTGATGACGCTTAAGCTGCTTGCAATTTTTAGGTGTGTTACATCAGGCCCCGGCATCACCGCTTCCCAATTTCCCAAAAGCAGCGCAACCCAAATTTAACGCAGCACACTTGAGAATTCTGCACTGTTTCTGAGCTGGTCTGCTGCTCACATTTCTACTGCTGGAGTGGGGGTGGAGGTGGGGGTGGGGTAAGCAGCTAGGGATAGATGAACCTATTGTGTTCAGTTTCTTTCTCATTTTTCCAACCTTAAATTTGTTTTGTACCATTTCTGCATATGTTTGCAATTTTTTTAAAGTCTGTATAAAAACATACAATTTGCATTCTCATTTCTCCCAATTTCCCGCTTAATAACTGTACATAATTTTCATGAATGTACACATTTTTGCACATACCTTTCACTAATATATGCAATTTTGTAGGCATTTGTTGGCTGGAGAATTGCATTGTGGAATTCAGAGAATCTAAATTTCTACAGAGAGCTGTGCTTTTCATATCGGTTCAGGAAGTGTGAATTTGAACAAATAAAACATCCATCCCTAGGACCAGATGAGGAGTTCCCAATGCAACCCAACCCAAAAATATATAAAGGCAAAGGGCCTTCTCAGTAGTTGTGCCCTCCCTGTGGAACGCCCTCCCACCAGATGTCAAGCAAATAACAAGCTATTTGTCTTTTAGACATAGCTGTCAACTTTTCCCTTTTTTAAAGGGAAATTCCCTTATTCCGAATAGGATTCCTTGCAAGAAAAGGGAAAAGTTGACAGTTATGCTTTTAGAAGACATCTGAAGGGAAGTTTTTAATGTTTGACATCTTGCAGTGTTTAAATTTGTTATAAGCCTCCCAGAGCGGCTGGGGTAACCCAGTCAGATGAGTGGCATATAAATAATAAATTATTGTTGTTGTTATATTTTAAGCTATCGGTTTTCTTAGTGTCTGAAAAGCATCTGAAAAGCAACCGTTCAAGTCATAGGATCAGAAAGATTTTCAGTTTTGTTTTTATTTTATTTTATTTCTTTTTATCAGTAAGCTTTTAGTTAACTAACTAACTAACTTTTATTTACCATTTTACGACGACTTCTTACACATTCCAAATACAATTAAAATCCATTAGAGTCGTGGCAATGAGAATGAAAGGGGCCATCCACATAGACAGAGTTAGACATGTGCATAAGTACTTCATTGAATGGGGTTGTCATTCCACATTGTGTGTTTTCAAGAAGCAATTAGTGGGTTTTTTTGCTCCAATTAACTTCCTGAATGCCCTTCTTGGCAGACTGTAAAATAGTTTAAAAAACTGCGTTTTATCACCTTAACAATATATGGCCACTGGAACCCATCTGCTGTTATAAATTCAACATGACCTTTGTGTTGAGTTATTTTGGTAGTAAATAGGAAACCTGACTTTTTCTGAGCAAGTCTCAAAATCATTAAGCTTTCTACTGAGTTAATAGAAACTGTGCTTTGTGAGAGTGTTGATTTCAGCAGATGATCAAACTGAGTTACTGCAACGGCCTGTTAGAAATTCAAAACAAAATGTCAACATGGAAGGAGATGCATAAAGGAGACAAATCTGTTCAGTCACAGGGCTCCCTTGGTGGCTCTATCTAATGAAGAAAGTGAGACAGGAAGCAGAGCAAGAAAGGCTCTTTGGAGGCAATACAGAAGATGGAATGTAGCATTAACCTTTATTAATGGACGGCCCAAGTCTCAAAAGCTATGACACAACACAGGATAGCATGCCCTAGTACTATTGCCATTGCATACTACAGAAGGGTTAGAAAAAAGCTTATCTAGCAACAGGAGGGACACTGGTGGCGCTGTGGTCTAAACCACAGAGCCTAGGGCTTGCCAATCAGAAGGTTGGCGGTTCGAATCCCTGCGACAGGGTGAGCTCCCGTTGTTTGGTCCCAGCTCCTTCCTACCTAGCAGTTCGAAAGCACGTCAAAGTGCAAGTAGATAAATAGGTACCGCTCCGGCGGGAAGGTAAACAGCATTTCCGTGTGCTGCTCTGGTTCACCAGAAGTGGCTTAGTCATGCTGGCCACATGACCTGTCTGCGGACAAACGCTGGCTTCCTCGACCTATAGAGTGAGATGAGTGCGCAACCCCAGAGTCGTTTGCGACTGGACTGGACTGGTCAGGGGTACCTTTACCTTTATACTGCAATGTATCCTAATAGTAAAATGTATACAAATAAAATTTTAACTCGGGCAGGTCAAAATCCAAATAATTTCTGTGCATGCCTCCAGATGGATAGGTCTTTGAGAATTTGAAGCATTTAGGGAATGGGGATGAGGAGCTACAATGGGAAGGAGTGCTAAGAACACCTAGAATATGCACAAAAACATTTTAAGCATTTCTGATGTAGCCCTTTTGGGAATTCCTTCAGGTGGTGTCCAAATAAATTGTTGCATCAGACAAGGATGTCTGCTTGCACAATGGAATTTCCTCTCTCTTTTCCTTGCATGTGCCTCATGTCCTCCCCCGAAATCTGCTCCAAAGGATGGAAGGGAAACCCAGAACATATTAAGGCATTGGATACCACCCTGTAAATCCAACCAGCATTACTGGATCACTCTGCTGTTGGGATCAATGTCCCTGACTATTATTGTGCCTTGTCCTTCCTACCAGCTCTTCCTTCCTCCTGACTATGCACAAGGAATTGTGACCCTGTTAGCTACTGGGAGATCCTATCCCATAGGATAGCACCAATAGCTCTCAAACTACCGGCCCTAGTTTAACCCAGAGAAGGCTCTGGGTCAGCAAATCAGTGTTCAGAATATAGCTTGTTCTGCTTCAGCATTGATTCAGATTGACTGCAAGAAATCTTGCAAGATCTGGACATCAGATACACGGGAAAACATTTCCATAAATATCCTCATGTATCATCTACCTAGATTTCCAAAGCCCTCCTCTGCCAAAGACTTTCTTTAGATGTCCTAAACTGAGCAGTTTTCACTCTGCACAAGTTCCCCATCTGCAAAACAGGAAGGTTCTAGTGCAGGGGTCAGCAAAATTTTCAGCAGGGGGCGGTCCACTGTCCCTCAGACCTTGTGGGGGCTGGACTATAAGCCAACTCCCCCCAACTCTCCCCTCCCTTCTCCACAGCACCGGACGAGCCCCAGTGGCTGCTTACCTGTGTCTTGTGAGCAGCAGGGGGCCAATGAGTGGCGTGTGAAAGGGCTACGGAGAAGGGCTGCTTAAAATGGCGGCTGCTCGAGTGCTGCTGCTGCTGGTACCAACAAAGCCCAGCCCCCTTCCTCCTCTAGGCAGAGAAAAGCCAGGAGGAGGGAGGGAGGAGGCGTCGCCGCCGTGTAAGGGAGAGGGAAAGAATGCACTAGCAAGCCATGCGTTGATTCCCGGACCATCCACGGGCCGGATCCAGAAGGCAATTGGGCCTGATCCAGCCCGCGGACGTTAGTCATGGCTGAAATATTATGGCTGAAGTAAGATGGCTAAAGTATTAAGGCAAATGAATTAATACCCTAAAAAGTTTCCTCTCCATATATAACGTTATTGCAGCCTATCTTTGAAGTTTTTCCACTGTACCAATTTGAATCCACAAGATCACATTTGGAAGGTTGTAGCAGACAAATAAATACACGTAAGTAAGTATTATTAGTTTGACAATAGTCACAACGGTATTGAAATACTGTATTAATATACAATAAAATCCAAAATCAACAAGAGTTGCGTAGGTACATCATTTATGGGTTTCTTTGGTCCCTAGATTGTCTGTTTGTCTGTCTGTCTGTCTATTATCTATCTACCTATCTCTATTCAGGATACAGAATGTCAGAATCCATGCAGTCATTAATCATTTATCCAGGATTTGTGTAGGGGGGAGGCACATAGAAGAAGAAGAGAAGAAGAAGAAGAAGAAGAAGAAGAAGAAGAAGAAGAAGAAGAAGACCAGTTATTTGACATGTTGCTTTTATCTTTACTTGCATTAAAATGCAAGATGATTGCCACAAATGCTTTCAAAACCCCTGTACTCATGGTGCATAATGGCCAGCAACCCGTCACTTCTGGCTGAAATGGAAATCTAGAGATTGACACACGCAAGCTGCCTCCAGAGAGTCAGGAAAGTTGAGTTTCTGTCCTGTCAGACTTGTTACTTTTAAGTTTCTTCGTGGATGACCACACACGCTGAAAAGATATTGCCCTCCTTTAGAAAATATTCTGGAAGATTGTCAGTTGCAGTTCCTCTTGTGGTTTTATCATGCCAGAATAGTAGAAGAGTGTGTCACTTTTTATGCCTGCTAAGCTTAAACTACAGGCAGAAGTAATGAGAGCAAAATGTAAGTGCCTTTTTTTTCTTTTTTACTCTTGCATATTTAAAAACCATATCCTTCCCAATGAGTGTGTTCTTTCCTCTGTCAATTGTTTAAGGTTATTATTAAAGGAGAAAAGATGCTCTGCTCTTTTGGGAGCCAAAAACAATGATGAAAAGCACAATCCTTTCTGCCTCTCATTTTCTCACCTTGAAGTTCAGTTTCCTCCATTTCAACATACTTTGGGCAACATACTTTATATGCAGTTCCATGCACACTTTTCTCAATATACTAGTTTTCTGCCATGATACTCATAGTTCTGTAAAGTGGCCCTTAGACATTCAATTCTTTGAGAGGAGAGTATGTCTTTAGCAGAAGCCACTTAGAGGGGAAAATGCTATATTGCATATCGTTCAGTCTCGATTTGCATACTGGGAGGAAATACAAAATAGTGATGGGAATAAGAACAGTAAGCTACCATTTGGGAGTCATTTGAAATATTTGATAGATTATGGCAGGGATGTGGAACTTGTGGCCCTCCAGACTTTCTTGGACTCCAAATCCCACAAACCATTGCCAGCATTGCCAGTGGTCAACCGTGATGGAAGTTCCTTTCCAACAGCAGCTGGAGGACCAAAGAGTCCCCATTTCTGGTATATGACATGTTTTGAACATGCTTTACCTTTCTAGAGAGGGAGCTGTGTGAGGAAACCCTTAAAAAAACCCTCCTCTTAATTAAACTAATGAGCATCTCCACCTCCATTGTTCAGCCCAGACACTTCTGGAAGTTCCCTCAATGCGAGAAGTGAAGTTACAGGGAACCAGGCAAAGGGCCTTCTCGTCTGTGGCACTCACCCTGTGGAACGCTCTCCCATCAGATATCAAGGAAATAAACAACTGTTTGACTTTTAGAGGACATCTGAAGGCAGCCCTGTATGGGGAAGTTTTTAATGTTTGATATTTTATTATGTTTTTATATCAGTTGGAAGCTGCCCAGAAGCAATACAGTCAGATGGGTGGGGTATAAATGTTGTTGTTGTTGTTTTGCTGAAAGCTGTACACAGGGCCTCTTCTCAGTTGCTGGCTGATATCATGTAGCTACTGACAGAAGCAAAAATAATCACTCTTCAGGAAAAATGCTCCCATTTCTCTGGTCAAATTCTCAAGAGCCTAAAAATCAAAGCTGTCCTCTGCAGACAGTAAGACAACAATGGCAGTACAACTCAAGTGGAATTCAGGACCAGGTTATGTGAAAGACAGCCTGCCGCTTTATGGACCTGTAAGACCACTTAGACCATCTGGGAAATTTCACAGCCCTACACAATATCACAGGGAAGTAATCCAAAATTGGGCATTTTCCTGCTATTGCTTTTGCATTGTGGAAAGCACTTCTCTCTGCTATGCGCACAAAGCATTATCTATTGGTTGCTTCAGATGCAAAAAGATGCCCAGGCTTTCCTTGAGCCATAAGAGTAGACTCTGCTATTACTGAATTCCTTGTTTTGTCTGTTTTTATGCTACTGTTTTATTGCCTTTGTGTTGTCCTTCTGTAAACTGCTTAGAGATTTTTAAATACTATGTGATTGAGAAATGCTTCTTGGTAATTAAATTAAATTAAATTAAAGAACCATCTTTTTACAAAGCTACTGAAAAGCAAGTTGAAATCTCGACCCTGAAGCAGTTTTAAAGGTTGGGATAGCAAACTAGCCAAAAGTATTTCCCAGGTCCTTGTCGGGTGGGAGGCAGCAGCTCAGACTGTCATGAATGCAACCTGGGATTTGAGGTGGAATATGCAGAAAGCAAGGCAATGGCCCATGTTTTTAGAAATAATAATAATAATTTCATTTGTTCAAGTTCTCTCAGTCCTGCAACACATTCACATATGCTCGGCAGGGATATAGTTGTTGTTCTGTCAAATAAGTGGGGCTTGCAAAGCACCGTGTACTAGGCTCTGCAAGCCCTGATAGCTGATCATCCAGGATTGCAAAGCTCAGGGCCAGTGCATGCTTAGCAAGCCCCAATAAGAGCTTGCAGAACCCAGTGTTTTGCAAGCCCCACCGATCAGCTGATCAGTGCTTGAACAGCCCAATGCTTTTACCGCCCCACAGTTGACATAATGTCTGGTGTGGAGTAGGCAGACAGGACTTGACTGAAATGGCAGGGTGGGCAAAATGGGGACACCTGGGGGCATTATTAGGCCTGTGGCTGGAGGTTCCTCCAGGGGCGTACAAAGGGGGGTGGGATGCTGTGCATGTGCAGTTTGTATGGGCTGCTGCTCTCTCTTGCCATCCATACAGGGGTCCGTACGGGCTGCTGCTTGCACAGCAACAGTACAGGCTGCTGCACGTGTGCAGTCTGTACAGGATGCCGCAAATGCACAGTCCGTATGGGCATCTCACGTGCACCGCCGGGTGGTTCGCCCCACCCCGGGTGCCCGAGAGGATTCGTCTGCCACTGGGTTCCTCACTACTGTATTAGAGCATCATCTTGACAATTGGGCGGGGGGGATGATTTGCGGGATTTATTTTCTCTCTCTCTGGGCTAATGTATTTTTTCTGTGGCTAAAGACAGACAGAAAATCAAGGTAGCAAAGCTGTTGTGTGACCTTGCCCCTTTTCCACCACAGGGCTAGGTCTTGATTAATGTTCCTGTGCATGAATTTTTCTGAATCATTTGCATTAGTGGGCTAGATCTGTGAGAGAGAACATCAAGGGCTCCTTCACTGTTGCAGTTTTTCCATTTATGACAGAAACTAGTCTTCTAGGTGTCGTGTGGATCAGCTCTCAACTGACATATTCTCAGGAAACATGAAAAGAAGCTTGTGCTTTAAAATTTAGCCTTATTTAGCCATCTATTACCATTGTCCTTAATCAGTGAATGCACAGTTTTGATTTAAAATGGCTTCCTGCTATTTCCTGTCAAATGAGTTTTTATAAATTAACAGAAGTATTTGAATTCAAGCATATAAAGACCTTATTCCAGTCTATTTGCTTTTCATACTTGTCTATGATATACTGTTTTTCATCCTGGAAAACATATCCTTTTAAGAAACTATTTTTTTAATAAAAAGAAATTACTGTGCTGTGTTTTCTGTAATGAGCTTTCCTTTTTAACAACATGCATAAATTGCAGTGTCGTTTTCAAATTTTGAATATATTATTTGGTGTATAATTAAAATGGTACAATCTGAAGCCACAATTAGAGAAAGAATGGCACAATTGCCCATTTAATCCCCACCCTCAGATGTTTTTGGGAAGGCTCATGGCCTTATATTATGTCCCAAGATAATGGTAGTCATGTGTTACTATGGTCTGTAATCAGGGGGAAAAATCTATATGGCATCATATGATGAGCATTAATTAAAATTTATCAAAATACCATACTTTTCTGTGTATAAGACAAATTTTTTTACCTTGAAACGCTTTAAAATTGGGGTCGTCTTATGCATGGGTAGTGCAGAGGGAGGACGGTGGAAACGATTTCTGGTGGAAATGATTTCTGTCTTGAGTAGTAGATTTTCACTGGCGTTATTGCGGGTGATAGGCTGCTGCGGCAATGTCCGCTTGTGATTGGGCGTTGCGGAGACAATGTCCGCTTGTGATTGGGCATTGCTGCGGCAATGTCCGCTTGCAATTGGACACTGCTGCGAGAATGTCTGCTGGCGGTTGTTCGCTGCTGCAGCAATGGATGCTGGATTGGGCTCTGCTGTGGCAACTGGGCGTGTGATTGTCGGCTGCTGGTGTCGATTGGAAATACAATAGGAGGCTTCTGCGTTGCGTTCAATTGCAAGTGTTTGGAATTTGGGTGAGCTTCCCCCCCCCCCCAGCATTCCTCCCATTCTGGACAATCCCCCCCTCATTTTCTTAATACTGACTCCCCAAAATTAGGGGGCGTCTTATTCACGGGGGTGTCTTATAGACGGAAAAGTATGGTATATCCTAAAATGCATACAGCTACCTTTAACATTTCTTTAAACAGAAATGTTGGTTTTTTTATTTTTCTACAGTATGGCAGTGTGGAAGATGAGGGCAAGATATTCTAGAGCAGAAATGTTTTAAGCGTGAAGGCAGACTTTCCAAAGTGACAGTCGTCTAAACACAATGCCACACAATCCAGGTATAGTGTAGCCCCGTTCCATGTGCTAACTGCTTTTGTTTTTCACACAAAGGTTTGGACGGTGCAGCCGTCTGTGTCAGTGTGTGGCTATCAAGGGAGTAGAGGCAGTGGCACATCTAATTCCAGGCCAGAGAAAGCAGTATAGTCTTGCTCTCCAGTAATTGCAAGGGGAACACTTCATGAAATTAATGTCTGAAGGAGGTTTCAGTTCAAATAAATTCCACAACACGTTTTCTTCTGTCTTCTTCACCCTTAATTCCCAAACTTCCAAATTTATCTAAGAGAAGCCCCTTTTTATGCATCCACTCTAAGCCAGCAACTGAGCATGGAGCTCTCATCAAAAAGAAGAATTGGAGCATACTTGTTCCTGAATGCAAGCTTAGATTATTTTTACTATAGGAGTAAGAAATGTTTGTTTCCCTACACCTCTTGTTGATCTACAAGAGAAAGCCAAGAACCATACCTCCTCTACTCTCCCCTAGAGAGAAGGGCTAATATTAAATGGAAACTGATTTACTGATACAATATCTTAGCAAGCAGTGGAAAACAATCCCAATTACAGCTCTGTAATTTCCTGTTCAGAACATTCTCTCTCTATCTTCCCATTACCATACTTTCAGGTCGAATGAATAAAATTCCATGTCATGATTATTCTATGCACCCTAGTAATTTACATAAAAGTTGCAGCCATCATAATGGATTATTTATTATCCAGTAGAAGATCTTTCTAAGGATTTACTAATAGGTGTAAATGTCAGAAAGGTGTCCTGGGACATGGTTCGGGAAGTGACAAATGGACAGAAACGGACTATTACTGAAAGAGAAATCCATGCTAGTTTGTAGAAATGAAATTCTCCCCCTCTCCCCACCCCCACAGTGTCCTAGATAGTCTTGTCGTTGTCCCCTGGCTATCTTAACTTGCCAAACATGACTAGCAATTGCAAGGCAGATGATTGCTACCCACCCAGACATTTACTTTGAGAACATTATGGGAATAATATTTCCACATGGATGAAAGCTCTTGCTTTTGAACAGCTTCTGCAATGTATTATGCAAATCAAGACTTTGTTTAAACTTCAGATGGGTATGTTATCATGCTCCATTTATTGTAGCCATTGCAGGAAAATGATTAGCATTTGGCGTACAAAATTGGTTCCAAGTTCCCTGACCAACGCCTCTGGCTATTTGTAGTTTGCTGAGTTTATTTGTCTGGGGAGAGGAAGTGGAGATTCATCATCAAACAAAATCTGGATTTAATCACATGCACCTAATGAATCAAGCTATTCCATGCTGCCTATTTGGGTGGGTATATATAAATAAGCTCCTACCCTTATGTTCTAGTTTTCATTGATGTCAGTAATCATGTAAGCTAACAATGGCAGTAGAATAGGCAACAGGCAGTCTAATAATTAAGCTTGTACTGTTTCATGTTCCACTGGCAAAACATTAAAATTTGCAAAACATCTAGAAGAGGCGTAATCAATGAGGTATCATCCAGCTGTCCCCATTCACGGTGATGGTCACCACCAAAGGAAGAGGGTGATCCCACCAAGGTAGAGATCAGTAGACCAGTTGGAAAGGGAAAGGATGGGGAAGGAAGAGGAGGACAGACCCTTTGATAAGGACCAAGGTTCAGGACCAGCTGAGACAGAAATTGCAAGTTTTCACAATGGTGTCTTGGAGGAGCTGGCAGAGCTTTATAGTCTGGACTGAGTAATCAGAATGGAAGCACTACCAGCTAAGGACTGTATCTGGCCATTAAATGGCTAATGTACTTTTCTAAAGTTTTCTAGACAGTGCAATTTCACATTCCGGGGACTGGTTTGGGGAAAACCTTTCAGGGTTCTCCTAATCCTCCAAGATGTCTGTGCATGAAGTGACACAGAAACAGATTATAATGTTTTAAAAGGCACAGCAGACTCATACAAGGAAATATGGGGGGGGGCATTAACGCCCTACAGCAAAGCAATGCCTCAGTTGTCCTAAAAGGCCCTCATATGGAAACAACCAAAATTCCTTTCCTTACCACCATATGCCTCCTATCGTCATTGTTCTAGATCATTGTTTTTCATTGCAGGTAAGGGTGGAAAGATCTGCCCATTTTGGTTCTCTCAGGTTCTCCCCCCGCCCCAACTGTAAAATCCGTTTTTCACATTTCTGCAACAAATTGTAATCTATTTAAAAATCCTCATGGAAATTCATCAGCATTTTTGGGTGAATTTCTTCTAGTGTACACATTTTTGTACATAGTTCTGACAAATACACATTTGCAAACAGTTTCTCCTAATATAGCACATTTGTGCATGTTATTTTCCCCAATACATTTATTTTTATGTACACTTTTCCTTACTAAACCTTTTTTGGGGGGGGCCAAACAGTAGCTATGCTCAGACATTGGGTTTATTGCAATCATTTTACTGGTTATAATGCTGGCAATGCTGTTCCAGATTCTAATATTCCTATTGCAGTACGCTACTGGCTGCATTATGGAAATGTGACTTTTTGATCAATACACTGCCATGTCATTCTAAATTTTAAGTGGCAGAAAAGAACTGCCAGAACAACACCCCAAATTTCATCACGTGAATATACAACACAAAACTTTCATGGTTTTTCAGGGTTTATGGGGCTACAATTGGATCTTTTTCTGGAAACAACTAACACAGAAATGAGCACTAGACTTCCACTAGATTCCCAGAAGTGTCTTTTACATCATGCAAAAGATCACATAAAATGTGGAAACGATCAGTTAAGAAAATGCCAGCAAATTGGATAGAATGCTGTCTGAATGTAGCCCTAATTTGGCTGAAAAACTGCATTGCAAAATTCAGACAGGTGCGATTTAAAAAAAAATAAAAATGGGAGCTATATTTTGTTTCTCATATTGTTTGGGAAAGGGCAGATTTGATAGATTTAGCTTTAAATGCAAACTGAATTCTTGCCCCGATCCCTAAGTACAGGACACCTTCCTCATCACAACTTCTTATGAAACCATCTTTCCCAATTGTCAGGGAACTGCCATCGGACGGAAGGGAGGTGAAAGGGCTCACACAGGTTGGGAGAGACGCAGCAGCTGAAGAGGAAACCAACAGGGAGGTGAAAGGGCTCACACAGGTTGGGAGAGACGCAGCAGCTGATGAGGGAACCAGCAGGGGAGAGGAGCTGAGCTGGAGGGATGGCTCAGAGACACTTCCAGCGAAAACAGTGGAGAGGTTTCAGGACCTCCTGTAAGAACACCCACTCCTCGCCGGAAACTGTCACGCAGAGATTCCAGAAGACGTGTTTCCGTTAAGGAGCTTTTATGTTGGAAGCGATTACGAAAGCAACCACTGTCGGAATCTGCTAGTGACTAGAGTAGCCATGTCTGAAGGGCTCTGTCACAGACAGAGGTTTGTGGACTTGAACAAACTCTGAGGGGATACGATTTTACGCACAAGCAGCTCATCATCCCATCACAGCATTCCGACAGTCTTTGAAAGCAGCTTGTGCAGGAGAAGGTATCATGAGCAACCCAGCCGGAACCGGAGAAGCAGGAGCTGGAGCGGGTCCAAGCCTGGAAGAAAGGTACCAGATGTTGGAGGTCCAGCTAGCGATGCAGACGGCGAGGCTTGAGGAGAGGAGGGCTCAGGATGCAGACAAAAGGGGGGAGCCCAAAAACTATCATGGTTTTCGGACAGAAATGCAATATGCCCTCAATCTGCAGTTTGATGAATTCCCTGACGAGGAATCACGAGTGGCTTTCGTGATTGAGCATCTTGAAAAGGGCGAGAGACTGGGTTAGACCCCTGATGGCAGCGAATAGTGACGTCTTAAAGGACACGATGAAGTTCTTTCGCGCCATGGATCTGATGTTTTCCAGCGATATTGAAAAGGGAGTGGTGCGCAGACAGTTAATGGGTTGCAAACAGGGAGCCGATCTGTCCGTGAGTACTGGACTGAGTTCACCATGCTTGTTCACAGATTGGGGTGGGACTTATCGGCGGAACCCATTCAAATGCTCTTTGAAGAAGGGCTTTCTTCGGCTGTGAAAGACGAACTTTCCCGGGCGCCCAGGGCGGAGTCTATGGACCAGCTGACCAAATCAGCGCTGGCCATAGGAGGCGCGCCAGGAGGCGAGAGCATTGGAGGCGGGAAGGGAAGGGGAACGTTGGAAGGAGTTCCGCATTCCAGACATTCCAGAGCCAACTTTCCCACCGGCAGAGCCGATGGAAATCGGAACAGCGCGCGCGCTGCAGTTTCAAAGCCCAGTGAGGGGGCAAAGAAGGAGGGAAAAGGCGCCCGGAAATGCTATCTCTGCCAACAGCCAGGTCACTTTGCCAGAGTCTGCCCCCAGAGGAAAGAATGGCAAGGGATGGTAGGGGCTGTGGATGGAAGAGAGGAAAATATACCGGAGCAAGTAAAAGCCAACGCCTGGCTGCCACTGTCAGGGCAC